AAAATATAGTGCTTTTTGCAATTTTTTTTAGGGATTTCTGATTGTATTGTTCTACCACTGGATACTGACAGTTTAAAGGACAGAAGCATCTTTTTTAAAACTTAGAACTGAATAATTGGTATCTAAATTATGTTCAATCAGACAGTCCAGTATCCAATACTAAATGTACAAAAAAATCCTCAAATATTAAGAAGTCTGAAGTAATTGTCTATGTAACAGGCTCTATTCCCAAATCACTGACTCCATCCCTAATGTCAGTGGTTGGTAAATTGTTGGAGGAGGTTCTGAGGGACAGGCTTTACAAGTAGTAGGAGAGGCAAGGACTGATTAGGGATAGTCTACATCACTTTATGCATGGGAAATCATGTCTCACTAACTTGAGTTTTTTGAAGAAGTGACAAAGAAAATTGATGAAGGTAGAATGGTGGATATTGTCTGTATGGAATTCAGCAAGGCATTCAACAAGGTTCCATGTGGTAGACTGTCTAGCAAGGTTAGATCACATGGAATCCAGATAGAGCTAGCCATTTTGGATACAAAATTGGCTTAAAGGTACGAGACAGAGGGTCATGGTGGATGGCTGCTTAAAAGACTGGAGGCCTGGGACCAGCAAGGTGCCACAAGGACCAGTGCTGGTCCACAGCTTTTTATCATTTGTATAAATGATTTGAATGTGAATATCAGAGGAATGGTTAATAGGTTTGCAGGTGACACCAAAATTGGTGGTGTAGTGAACAATGAAAAAACTTATCTCAGAGTACAACAGGACCTTAATCAGATAGGCTGAGGAGTGGCAGATGGAGTTTAATTTAGATAAATGTGAGGTGTTGCATTTTGGCAAAGCAAATCGGCCCTGTCATTTTTCTTCCTCCACTTTTATACAGCAGGGTAGGAGCCATTGACTTGGCTACTGTTGCTATCCCGTGAGCTTTTGTACTACCCCCCCACCCCAACAATATCCAAATCAGGATATCTGCTAGCGAGGGGGACAGTCACTACCTGCATTTCTCTACCCTTCCTGGTAGTCACTCGTGCCCTTTCTGCCTATTCAGGTTTTACCTGTGGTGTGACCACCTCAGTGAAAGTGCTGATCATGATAATCTCAGCAATTGCAGATGCTTCACAGTGAGTTTGCTCACAGCGCCTGTTCCAAAATGTAGTTAGCCAGTAGCCAGTGCCTTCTGGATTCCGAGGCCAATGTTGCGAACAGTTTTGGCATACCAATTACCAAGTGTAGACCGTGGACCAGTTGCATTCATACCCAGCCATGCAATTTAGAGGGAATGTTGCTTGGGATTCATGCATGGCTTACAGAGGCAGCCAGATATCTTAATTGTCAACTGTTTCTACTCCTGCATGATTTTAGAAGACATTTTCAGATTAGACCAAGTTAGAGCAGTTCTGAATTCATTTGGATAACCAGTACGTTCTTTTGGAGAGATAATGTAGTCTTTTAGAACTGGTTCTGTGCTGTTTTTGGAGGAAATAAGCTACCCTTTGTGGGATAGGGTACTCTTTTTGAGTTTAACTGCATCTTTGACAGAGATTAGGTGTGCTTTGGGCTTGGTAAAAGTAGATACGCTTGTCGTTAAAAATGACAAATTCACTGGGACTGTTAAACTGTCACAGAGCAGTTAAAGCTGTGAAAGAACTGTCACACTATCAAAGAACTATTAAAACTGACAAAGGAACCTTCAAAACTACAAAGACTTTGAAAATTCCTGATGTTTAACCTTTGAAAAACGTCTAGAAATGATTTTGTGATGAAGGGTCCAGGCCCGAAACGTCAGCCTTCCTGCTCCTCTGATGCTGCTTGCCCTGCTGTGTTCATCCAGCTCTACACCTTGTTATCTCAGATTCTCCAGCATCTGCAGTTCCTACTATCTCTGGAAATGACAGTGCTTGCTTTCTATTTCAGTCTGTCTCTTGATAATTACCTAAGGATTTCCTTTAATGCATTGGTGTAGCATTACTGATTTCACAAGGCGCAATTATCACAGTGGGTTGCCTTCCATTTCACAACTTGATTGACAGCTAAAAGCAACTCTTTGATTAGGAATTTGAATTCCAAAGATTGCTGCACTTTTTATAAGGTTTCCTTGAGGTTAATAGATTTTATGAATGACAATGATTTTCCAAAATACAATTTGTTACAAGACAGAGAGGTGAATTAAATTATTTTCTCCTCTTCTGTCCATGAGCACAGATGTTATAAAAATAAACATTAATTATTTTCTCTTTTGCAATAGGACTCAGTATGTTCACATTAAAATTTTCTGTTTCTAAAGTTAATTTTTAAATAACGCGCAACAAACTCTCTTTTGGATGAAAACACAATTATGGCTTATTCATGCATTCACATTTGTGGGACAACTGTAGTGACACAAAAACAAGCCTACAAGAGAGAGAAAAGAAATAGGTTTACAGTTGAGAATTTAAAACTCAAAGATATGGACTTAAATTCACACGACATTTTACTGAGTTCTGAAAGTCAATGCCCCATGCAGATTCTTTTCTGTAGGCATTCTGGTTCAGGTGTATGCAGTTGGCTGAAGTTGCAGAATTCCTTTTAACGTTAATAAAGGAACAAAAATGAGTTTTGCATCTACCTTTCCAGTGAGAACAATTTTTGGAATCCAGTTTTCGAGGAGATTGTGATTTAAGGCAGTTTAGCTCAGCCTAGGATCTTTATTTGAAGGGGGCTAATTGCAGGCAAACTTTATTTTAATAAACAGACCTGTTGTTAGCGATCCGCAGATTCTTATTGTACTGATGATAACAGTAATTAAATCCTTGCCAAACTGAAGGAACACAGTCCAGATGTTGCGATTAAATCCCTTTCCAAATACAAAGGGATTTTAGTCAAGTGACAGGGTTACTGTAATGAGCCCGTTTCAACTTAACAAGGTAGTTTTTATGTAACTATCTCTCTGGCCAGTACCATTATCATCTATATTAGAGAAGCAGTGAGCTGTTAGCACAACTTCAGGCATAATGAGTTTCAATCGTTCCCTGTTGTTCAGACCAGACTGAGTGAGAAAACTTATCTTCAGTTCTTTTTGTGGACAGAAATGTTCACCCAACGTGAATGTATGGTATTGCAGCAGGATGATATATTAAATAAAATATAGAACTGTGGATGCTGGAAATCTGAAACAAAATCAGAAATTGTTGGAGAAACTCAGCAGGTCTGACAGTATCTATATAGAGAGGATCAGAGGTAACATTTCAAGTTTTAAGAACTGCTCTGAAGAAGGGTAACTGGACTTCAAATGTCAACTTTATTTTCTCTCCCCTGATGCTGCCTGACCTGCCGAGTTTCTCCAGTAATTTCTTTTTTAGGATGTTATTTGAGTTCAGTTCTGTTAAATGCTGATTGGAATCAATCCAGAAAATATGATAAATTTGCATCATCTGGTGGACATGCTTTAGTTCAGCAAGGTTTATTTCAAAACTTAAACAACAAAATTTTTTTTTCAAAAAACTTAGGATCTATCTTAATATTTTGTGGACACAACACATTTGGAACTTTATTTTTCTAATCTCTGCATTTGACCTGAGATGTGCCCATGGTGGAATCTAGATCAGTCGATATAGTAGGTGGAAAGGGCATGATTTGGCACTAAGTTGATATTGGGGATATAAAGGACCAGGGGGCTGGGCAAATGGCATATGCTGACAGAGAGGGTATAAGGGTTATCAGGGTAAAGAGAGGCATAAAACTGAAGTTGCTGGAAAATCTCAGCAGGCCTGGCAGCATCTGTGAAACAGAAAGGTTGTTTTCTCTTGCAGGAGAGTTTAGGACCAGAGCGCATAATCTCAGTATTGGTGTTGCCCATTTAAAACAGAGATGAGGAGGAATTTCTTCTTTCAAAGGGCAGGGAAATTGGGGAACTATTTACTACAGGGAGTTTTAGAGGCTGCATTGTTAAGTAGATTCAAGGCTGAGATAGACAGATTTTTAATCAAGAAGAGAATCAAGGGTTGTGGAGAAAAGGCAGGAAAGTGGAGCTGAGGATTATTAGTCAGCCTCAATCTGATTGGATGGCAGAACAGATTAGATGGGTTGAATGGCCAATTTTTGCTACGATTTATGGCCCTACATGGTGGCCTGTCTTTTTATGGGACTGTGTAAAGAGAGGCAATGTTAAAGATGTGGGCTGGAGGGTTGTTTTTGGTTTTATTTTCATTAAGCTTTCACTCCGTTCCAGGGCATTGGTAGCAGGTCTTCTGGCCAAACCCCATCCATACCTGGCAGCCTACTATCTTGGTTGGCCCAACTCCCAGAAAAATCAACACCGTGGAATAAAGATCCAAAGCTTGAATCCTCTTTTTGTTCAGATTGGGTTTGTAGAACCAGGAAATATCTTATTTCTGTGCTCCTGACTGAAGAACAAAGTCCACTGCTGAATATGAGATTCAAACCACCCCTAGTCTGTTTACTTAGCAAGCAGCTGAGTTATCAGGAAAATCCTGAGTTCAAAATAGTTCACATTTGGTCATGCTTTGGGACCAGGAATCTTGGCCACGATTCTGTTGTATATGAAGTTGTGTATAACACTTGATGAGCAAGTTAGGGTTAAGTAGCATCTATGAAAACAAATCCCAGGAAGGAGCCAAATCTTTGGAGCAGTGACAAAGTTGGCTGAGAAAATAGACAAAAAATAGCAAATATCAACTCCTACTCCAGATTTTAAAGTTATAGTACTGTCCAGAATGTGCAATTAAATCAGCTTAGTTTAAAAGGACAACATTTCAGTTGTGCAATCATAATAATTTCAAATGCTGAATGTGAGGTGTACTTGCGAAAGGTTTGTGCAACTGTTAAAGGCACATCTAACTCTGAACAACACACTTGCTGCTTTCTGTTTAAATGCTGGGGACAAGCCAGCTTTAATGGAAAGATTGAAGCCCCTGCTGAGGATGATGTCATACATTTCTCATGTGAGAGTTGTCTGTGCTTTTGATGGATTTTTTAAAATCCTGTGGTGGAAACTATCTGGGGTTCTGTAACATGAACTCAGTGCGTCTTGGGGAATCGTGTGAAGGAGAGGCACTGACTATAATGTTAAGGACAAACCTGAAGGGTGAAAGGAGCTGCAGTTTGAACAGGATGTTGGCCTGGACGGTACTAAGTCTGCTTATAATTCAAATGCCAAGTGTCTTAACTTTTCCAAAAGGTAAGGCTCAAAACAATTTAATGCATGAAAGATACATTAAATTATGGGTACATTGATGATCAGACTCAGCGCAGCAGTGTGCCAGAGCTTCACGCAGGACTTTGAGCAGCTGTGAATTAAAGAATAGGACTCTAGAGTAACAGTGAGCTATGGCTTCATATGGGGCTCCAAGCCACAGACACTCAGGGCTTCACCCAGGGCTCTGAGTAGCAATGAGTCAGGGTTTCACGCAGAGCTCTGACCAAGAGAAAGCCAGAGCTTCAGAGGGTTCTCTGAACGGCGGTGAGCCAGAGGGTCACCAAACAACACTGAGTCAGAGCTTCAACCCGTTAACTGAACAACCGTGAACCAGAGCTTCACAGCGCGCTGAACAACAGTGAACTAGAACTGACTCTGAACAACAGCGAGCCACTGCTTCACACGGGCTCTGAGCAGTAGTGAGCCAGAACTTGACACGAGTTCTGAGGGACACTGAACTAGGGCAATCACTCAATGGGCTGGAGCGTCCAATCATTCTTTCATTTTAAAAGGTGCTTTCTAGTTCGGAAGTGTAGGGAGGACAGTATAATTGACTTCACATGCAAAGTTATGCTCTTGATGTTGAATTTCAGACTCATGGTAAAGAAATGCCCAATCATTATTTCCAACTTAGTTGTGAGATGCTCCTTCTGCTGGTTGTACCTTCAATTTAAATTAGCTGTGCTAGAAAGGGTATTTTATTTTTAAGAGAAATGTCATGGTGGATCTTATACTGCCTTGGATTGTGGCTTCTAGACTGGAATCATTTGTGGTTGTGAAACAAGTAATTAATTACCTTCAAGAGCTGAGCCAATTGGCTCTAACTTCCCACTAATCTGTTGAATAGGAGAAATATCTTATTACACTGACTTTGTTTCATTTTATAGTTAAGATAATTTGGAATAAAAATTATCTTTGCACTTTACTCAGAAAATGATGTTGGTTTGATCGACACTATTCCTCTTGATCTTTGAAGAAATATATCCTTGAGCCTGCTCTCCCCTCTACCCCATGTCCAGTATACATCTTGTATGCATGTCCCTAGCCTAAAGGGACAAACTCCCAAACACTGTCAATCCCGAAATCATGAAAGTCCCATATCCACTCAATGATTGAATGAATGATGATTTATTGTCACTTGTACTCTACAATGAACCAAACAGTAAAACACAGTGATAAGCTCCAACTGTCACAACAATCCTACACCATTTTGAACAGTTTAAGAATAAAAAGAATAAAAAGCCATGGCTGAAAGAGAGTCTACTTCGTTCTGCGGCCTTGTCCATGAACCCTGAACCCTGAGCTGACTTACCAATGACAACTGCACCTCTGCACCTCTACTGCCTTGCTGCTGCCTGCACCGGACTGATCAATGTTCGAGTTGCCACTTTTCAGGTGCCATCTCTTCATCGCTGGGCCCACTTTGCTGAATGGGTGCTGATGCCAGGTCCCGTGCTGGATCCACACTTATCCCCGGATTTGGGCCTACCACAACCAGGAGCTGCGACCACCGTCTCGCCAATAACTTGGAGACACTAGCTCCAGGCCTACCACAACCAGGAGCTGCCACCACCACCTCGCCAATAATGAGGACACCTCAGCTCCGGGCCTATCATAACCAGGAGTTGCCACCGCCACCTTGCCAATAACCAGAAAACCCCAGTTCTGGGCCTATCATAACCAAGGAGTTTATGGCTCTGCTGCAACGATGCCACCACTGCCTCAACGCTGACCTGGAATCCTTACTACAGGCCTACCACACTGCTACTTCACCAAAGCCTGGAATCTCGGATGCCCAGAGTCCCTGGCTCCAGGCCTACCACACCCAGGAGTCACTGGATCTGCTGCCAGCCCAGGCCAGGCCACCGCCTCACCGATGCCTGGAGTCCCCACTCCGGGCCTACCACACCGCTGCCTCACCGATGCCTGGAGTTCCCACTCCGGGCCTACCATACTGTCGCTTTGATGATGCCTGGAATCACCAATGCTTGGAGTCTCTGGCTCCAGGCCTACCACACCCAGGAATGCCTGGATCCGCTACCAGGCCAGGCAGCAGCCTCACCAAGTGTCCAACTCCAGCCGCTGTCCTCCATGATGTCACCACTTCAGCTGCTGCTAACAGGAAGTAGATGAAAAAGAGAAAGAAGACAAAAAGGGTAAGGAAAGAAGGGAGGAAGCAGCCTGTCTGGAGCAAGCAGACCCAAGACCCCAAACGCTGCCTACTTTGCCGGCGCTGCCATCTCAGAGGAAAAATCTCACTGTAATTCCTTGTGTCCATTCTCTATTGCATTGTCCATTGCATGTACAATCACTGTCATTCTGTCTGCTCATTCTAGTCCCATGTCTACTTCCTGTCAGTCAGAGTGTCCACTCACTGAAGTCCTGTGTTCACTCAGTGTCATTCCCTTTGTGAAGTTAATGCAGGCTTATGTCCTCTCTGTGACAATCCCTTTGTCCATTCATTGCAGTCCCAGATTGAATCCGCATAACTGCCTGTGTCAATTCACTGCCATTCCATTTCCATTCACTGTCACTCTATATGCCCACTCACTGCAGTCCTTGTGTTTACTCAATGCAGTCCCATGTCCACTGACTTTCACTGCCACTGTCCCCTCACTGTCACTCCCTCTGTTTATTCATTCTCATATCCATTTAGCACAGACCCAAATGCACTCACTGTTACTCCCTGTTGACTCATTGCATTTTGTTGTCCACTTCACTGTTGTTCCCTGTATCTCTATATTGTCATCCCCTGTGTTCCTACAATATCAGCTTGATCACTTGGTGGCACTCAACTCACTGTAGGTCCCATGTTTTCATACTGCCACACCCTGTTTTCGTGTGAACACATTGTCATTCCTTGTGTGAATTCACTATGGTGCCATGTTCACTCACTTTACTTTCTGTATCTACTCACTGCAGTCCCATATATACTTGCTATCACTTCCTGTGTTCACTCACTATAACCTCATGTCCACTAGTCGCCACACAGATGTAAACTCTTTGTCATTCCATGTTTCCATTCATTTGCAGTGCCATGACCACTCACTGTGCCTTCCTGTAGCTTCATGCTACTGTTCCATGTTCTGTTACTCTCATTCCCATGTCCACTCACTGTCACTCTCATGTCCATTCAGTGTCACAAGCTGTTTTCACTGTCTCTGTGCACATTTATTGTCACTCCTTGCGTACTCTCCCTGCAGTCTCATGTACATTTACTCACTCCCAGTGTTCAGTCACTGCCATTCCCACGTCCACCTCCTGTTATGTACATTAACTTTAATGTCCTGTGCCAACTCAGGGTTACCCTCACATCAATTTAATATCATTTCCTGTGACAGTTCACAACAGTGCATTGTGCACTCACTGTTACTTCCTGTTTCGACTCACTACAGTCTCATGTCTACATCTCACACTTCGATGGCCCTTCACTGTAGTTCCCTCTGTAGTTCCATGCCAACTCACTGTAGGCTCATGTCCACTCACTATCACTCCCACTATCTTGTCATTGTTATCCAACATCTGATTGTTCTGAGGAAGGGTCACCAGACCCAAAACATTAACTCTGTTTTTGCCTTCACAGATGCTGCCAGACCTGCTGAGCTTTTCCAGCAACTTTGTTTTTGTTCCTGATTTACAGCATCCGCAGTCCTTTCGGTTTTTATCTGATTGTCTTACATCCGCTCATGTCAATCCCTGTGCCTACTTACTGCCCCTGAAGGTGTCACTTACTTCAGTCCATCTCTACCCACTGCAGGCTCATGGTCCACACTGTATAGCCTTATATCTACTCACAGTCACTCATGTAAACTCCTTGTCATTCTCTGTTTCAATTCACTGCAGTGCCATGACTACTTACAGTTCTTTCCTGTAGTTTCATGCTAGGATCCATGCCTAGTCACCTTGACTCCCTGTGTCTGCTCACTGTCACTCTGTGTCCACTCTTTCTGCGTGCACACACTATCATTCCCTGTATGCTCTCACTGCAGTTTTGTGACCACTCAGCTGATTTTCTTGTGTCCACTCACTGTCATTCCCTGTGCTCATTTCACTGCAGTGCGATATCCACTTCCTGTCATTTCCTTTATCTACTCACTCGCTGTCTCACCATATGCCACTCACTGCAATCTCATGTCATCTCAACATCGTTCCATGTCTATTTACATCAGTCACATATATACTCAATGTTACTCCCTGTTTCCACTCTTTGCAATGTCACATTCATTCACTGATATTTTTTGTGTCCATTCATTTTCACTCTCTGTGTCCACTCATTGCAGCCTTGTACCCACTCATTACAGACTACTGTCTGTATCTGTAACCACTCAAAGCAGTTCCTGTGTCCAGACACTGCAGCTCCATTTTCACTCACTGTCACCCCCTGTGTCTACCCACTGCAGACTTATGTCCAATCACTGGTTCCATGTCCATTTGCTGTCACTCCCAGTGTCCGCTCACTGTCATATGGCCACACACTGTAGTACCATGGCCACTCACTGCGGCCCCATGTTCATATGTTGTTGCTACCTATGTTCACTTACTGCAGTCCCATATCCACTCACTGCAGCCCTCATGTATATTCATTACCAATTAACTTTAAGGGAGGTGATGACCCAGTAGTATTATCACTGGACTGTTAATCCAGAGACCCGAGTAATGTTCAGGGGATATGGGTTTGAATCCCACCATGGCAGATGGTGGGATTTGAATTAATAAAAATCTGGAGTTAAGAGTCTAGCGATGACTATGAATCCATTGTCATTTGTCAAGAGAAACCTATCTGGTTCACTAATTTCCTTTGGAGAAGGAAACTGCCATCCTTGCCTGGTCTGGCCTACATGTGACTCCAGACCCACAGCAAAGTGATTGATTCTTAACTGCCCACTGGACCTGCTAGCGACGCCCTCATACTGTGAATCAATAAAAAAAGTCTCATTTTGGCCATTCATTCTACTTCCCTGTCCACTCATTCGAGCCCCATG